TGTCGCATGAGCCGCAGCAGAGATGTGTGAGTGAGCATTCTGAACTTATATCTTCTTAGATATTTGTTCAGAGCCCTCAAATCAAGTATTGGCCGAATTCCGTTCCCTCCCCGTTTGGGAACGAGGAAGTACTTGGAATAGAAGCCGCCCTGACTCTGCTCGGCGGGTACAATAGATATAGCCCTCTTTTCTAGGAGAGAGAGAATCTCTTTCTCCAGAATATGGGCTGACTCTCCTCGGGCCTGCGAATGCAGAATGCCCGAGAAGCGAGGGGGGGTGACAGCGAATTGGAGTCTGTAGCCCCGTGTTACTGTCTTGAAAACCCAAGCAGATGATGTGAGCATCTTCCACTGCATGCTCCTTAGAGCCAGTGGAGATGTCACATCTCTTCCCCTCTGAGTCTCTATTTGTTGTGTTATGGGGCCCTCTAGTGTCTGAACACAGTGGTGCCCCCTTTCGACAATCCCCACCGACACTGCGCATGCGCATGACGGTGGTGCCTTCACAACCCAGCCGGCACTGCGCATGCGCGTGGCGGTGGTGCTTTTAAAAACCCCAGCCGGCACTGCGCATGCGCGTGACGGTGGTGCCTTCACAGACCCGCCTGTAATCCGCCTTTTGAGAGATTGCCGTAGCTGCTCTCAGAAGGGGAACAGTTGACGGGCTGTTTATTGTTTTTCTTTTCATTTTTCCGAGCTGCGCCCTTGGCTCGAAGCCTGGATGCGTCAGCGGAAAATGATTTGTGACAGAAAAATCAATAAGTGTGTGACATGTGTTTATGCGGACTTGAGGATGGTGTTGAGGCATCTCTCGAGGCGGCGGGAACACATTTAGAGCTGGGGAACCGTAGACTTCCAGCTCTGTCACAGAGGGGAGAAGGAGGGGCTGTCACGCCGCTCGCTTCTTCTTCCTCGACTGCTGGCCGAAATTCTGGGTTGGCTGCGCCTGGGCTGCAGCCGGAACCGGAGATTTTCTAGGCCAGCTCGCCCTCGTCTCCAGCCTGGGCTGGGGACTCGGGGCGGGCTTTTCTTCACGACCCCAGCCGGCACTGCGCATGCGCGTGACGGTGGTGCCTTTACAGCCCCAGCCGGCACTGCGCATGCGCGTGACGGTGGTGCCTTTACAGCCCCAGCCGGCACTGCGGATGCGCGTGACGGTGGTGCCTTCACAGACCCGTCAATTGTCCGCCCTTTGAGAGAGGCCGTAGCTGCTCTCAGAAGGGGAACAGTTGACGGACTGTTTATTGTTTTTATTGTTTTTCTTTTCATTTTCGAGCTGCGCCCTTGGCTCGAAGCCTGGATGCGTCAGCGGAAAATGTTTTATGACAGAAAAATCAATAAGTGTGTGACATGTGTTTACGCGGACTTGAGGATGGTGTTGAGGCATCTCTCGAGGCGGCGGGAACACATTTAGAGCTGGGGAACCGTAGACTTCCAGCTCTGTCACAGAGGGGAGAAGGAGGGGCTGTCACGCCGCTCGCTTCTTCTTCCTCGACTGCTGGCCGAAATTCTGGGTTGGCTGCGCCTGGGCTGCAGCCGGAACCGGAGATTTTCTAGGCCAGCTCGCCCTCGTCCCCTGCCTGGGCTTGGGACTCGGGGCGGACTGCGACCTGCGTTTTCGGTATTTTGAACCGAGCAGGGTTCGGAGCAGCTTGGACGAAGGGCTGCCGCTGCGAAGGCAGCGGCTGGGCCCTTCGAGGGAGGCAGAGGTGGAGGGCCTCGTCCTCCTTCTTTTTCGACTCGCATCTCCTCTGCATGGAGGCAAGAGCGGAGCCGAAAATCCCCTCGGGAACGATGGGCATGTCAAGCACATCCTGAACAACGTTCAGAGCCCTGGCGGACAACGCTGCGGCTCTGTAGGACCGTTCAGTCATGGTCAACTGGAAACGGTCCACCTTCGCTGGCAGCGTGGGGTTCCTGCTTGGTGACCCATCCTCGGTGGGAGGTGGGCTGCCACCAGCAGTTCCATCGGCGGTATGCGGGCGAGACCATGGTGAGGTCTCGCCGGTGAGGCGTGGGGCTCCGTTCCCGCGTCTCTTGCCGCCACCGGGTCCCGGCCTGAACGGCGTGGGATCCCGGTTCCGCAGCTGCCGCTGTTAGTGAGCCCCAGACCGACACAGTGAGGGGCTCAGTCTCTGCGGCGGACGCCCCCGTGTCTTGATTGCCAAACGGCGAATCAGTGGACATGAGGGAGTCCTGTTCCAACAAGCTAGCTTGGTGTGCTAGCCGTCGGTGGAGGCTCTTTCGGGTGAAAAGGGCACAATGCCCGCACGAGCCGGGGTTGTCGATAGCCTCCTGGGCGTGTTCCAGCCCGAGGCAGGACGAGCAGACCTGGTGTGAGTCTGTGCCTGCTATCTTCAACCCGCAGCCGCATGACCGAGCCTCCGAGTCCCTGACTCCTCTGGTGTGAGGGGGAGAGGCGTCCATCTTGTTCGCCTCGTGGCGTGGAGAGGACCCGCTCGTAACAGGTACGTCGTTGAGAGAAAAAGTTTTACCAACCCGTCCTTAATCCGGAGAAAAAGGGACGGTGTGGGTCCTTTGTTCTCAAAGAATATTGACTGGTGTGTCAATATACTTCTAATCCTTTTCTCCTCCGTGAGAGAGAAAAAGAAAAGCGTCCTCGCTACCGTGGTGTCGGTAGTAAGGGGAAGCTAGCTAGCAACAGGTGCGTAGCTAGCTTGAGAAAAATCAAAACCTTACCTTACTTTCCGGGGAAAGAACGGCGAGGTCGATTTTAATACTAACTGGCGTTAGTATTACCGTCTTCTTGCGAAGCAGAAGGAGTAGCCGGCGAGCGCCCGTCGACCGAAATGGTTATATTTGGGTTCAGTCTGTGGACCGTTAAGCTTGTCCGGCTACTATAGAGATGTGCTCTGAAGCGAGAAGAGGTGTTTGAATGGCGCATGCGTTGTGGCGCAAGCTACTTATAGGGGATGATTTCCCTGACGCTGACGTCAAGATCTCCAGCCAATCAGGATTGGCGTAATGAGATTGATGCTTCTGTTTGCTCCGCGATGAGGCGCATCCCATAGTGAGACATCGAACGGAGTGTTATGAATGAGAACTATTCTAGTAGACCTCAACAATGGAATTATGATCAGTGGCCATGACATGGGTTAGGGTTGGGTGATCACAAAAGAGTGATTATACAAATTAAATTTATTGAAATGTTAACCAGAAGATGAAGTCTCAAAGAATGTTTTAAATAGAAGGACATCAAATAAAAAGGTGGATAATAATACAATCTATAAAATGTATATGTAAAGACATTTGGTCAAATGAAATGACACTGAGCAAGTGATAATAGCAATGCCCAGAGTGGATGAAGCTGGTGCAGGTCTTTCTTCATGCCCCCCCCCCCCCCCCCCCCCCCCCCCCCCCCCCCCCCACCCCCACCCCCCCCTCAGTGCTGTCCCCTCAGAGGAAGTGGGAAAACGGGATAAGACCTCTGGACACTACGCTGTCTCAATGATCCACACTGTTAATATGAGAGGAAAATAAATGTTTTAGGAAATAAAAAATATGAAGTTAACAAATAAAACACAGCTCAGGGGCATCATGGACGGTAGGTTTTCCTACAAAGAGAAGTAGTTAACAGCTTCCATTGATTTTTACATCAAATCAGCGTGTTAATAAAATAAGCTATCATGGCTTATACTTGCATATCTAAACAGAATCATGAAAGCCTGTTGGTAGAGTCAGGCACACGAGTCCGTTTGAGTGTGTGCGCAGGTGTCTGAACTCTAATTCACTGCTCGCTTTGTAGCTAACTGTCCCTGCTATTAGGCTACTTAGCTAGCATTGTTATGGATCTAAAGTTCTAAAGTTAGCAAAAGCTAACTTTCATAACACAGCTTTTCTTTACTTCTCACTTAACTAACACAATAAAGAAACAGACCGTATAGTACAGCACAAACAACACAAATGATCAATACTTAGATATAATTTCACTTGTAGTATTATCCATCGATCCATCCATCCATCTTCTCCCGCTTATCCGTGGTTGGGTCGCGGGGGTAGCAGTTCCAGCAGAGAGCCCCAAACTTTCTTTTCCCTGGCGACATCAACCAGCTCTGACTGGGGGATCCCAAGGCGCTCCCAGGCCAGCGAAGAGATATAATCCCTCCACCTGGTCCTAGGTCTACCCCTTGGTCTCTTCCCAGCTGCATGTGCCTGGAACACCTCCCTAGGGAGGCGCCCAGGTGGCATCCTAACTAGGTGCCCGAACCACCTCAACTGGCTCCTTTCGACGCGAAGGAGGAGCGGTTCAACTCCGAGTCCCTCCCGGATGACTGAACTTCTCACCTTATCCCTAAGGGAGACACCAGCCACCCTGCGGAGAAAACCCATCTCGGCCGCTTGTATCCGCGATCTCGTTCTTTCGGTCATGACACTTGTAGTATTATAATAATTGAAATGTTGGTTCTTCTGGGGTGTTCTATCCACGCTCAGCTACCGCACCGCAGCTGCCTGCACTGTACAATCGCTGGAGGACTGGGCTGTCACTCAAAAACTGAGTAGCCAATGGGAACCCACCCCTGAAAGTCCCGCCTACGTGGGACGTTTGTGTCAGAATTGAAAACAAAAAATGAGGGAGCGCAAATGAGAAAGCTGCAACGAGAGCAAAAGTCTGATCATTGAGAAAGAAGCAAAGAGAACTGCAAACAAAAATATGTGTTAAAACCATAGGCTGTATATATAAAGGTTAAAACAAAGAAAAAATACATATAGTTTACGTGATTACACAAATGATTTGTTTGCAACTTATAGTTTTATTTTTTAAATTAAATGTATTCTGCTTGACTCCGTTTTTTTTCTCTTAAACTCTTAGTTTTGCTTGATTCTGAGAAAGCGTTGCTTTATCTTTATGATACAAAACTAATCCCATACTTTAGATGCAGTGAGTAGTGAGGCGGAACGTTTGTGTTCGATTCAATGGTTCCGGGTTACCGATTAAACCGACGGACGTTCCTGGGGTTTCCTCAGAAGTAATCTGGAAGGAAACCGAACACAACGTGTCCTCATTACTTCTGTTTCACCTGCACCATACAGGTTGGTAAACTGTGCATAAATCACAATGAATCCCCCATAAGGTATGCGTAGATAATATGTAACGGCCAGCTAACATTTAAAGACTTTGTAGCGCTGTTTACATGTGTAAAACCGTTAACTAGTGTGTGTATTAGCCTAGCTTCCCTGGTATGGCGCCATTTTGGGGACAACGTGATCTGACGCAGTAAGGATACAATTTTGTCAGTATATCTGTATTTACATACATGTATAGTCATTGTTTGTTTGTAATAAATATGTACTTTGTAAGGGTTATAAGTTAGTTACTGTTGGTAAAACAGTAAGGTTGTTTGTTACACTTAAATATGTTTCAGTTTAGTGACCTGCCATTAATGGCAGAAGGTAAATAGTCAACATGACAGGTTAGAGGGGTCATGAAATACTACTTTTAAGTGAAAGTAAAAAGAAGAGTAGTATTAAATACAGGTTAATACTGTATACAAATGTATTTAAGGTACAACACATTTTATTGAATGAAATTCAATTCGACATGTGTTTATCACATAAAAGAGTAACATACAGACAGAGTGAAGGTATGTGAATGGTTATTGAGGAATGTAAGTCGAAACTGAAATGCATAAGATAATTTATGTTTATATGATTGTATGTAATAAAACAATCTCAGAAGTAATCTTGAAGGAAACTGAACACAACGTGTCCTCATTACTTCTGTTTCACTGTTATCATCACTGTTAGTGTGGTCCTCATATCGGGGACCCGTTACAGTTCTTGGGGACTCGTCCGGGATCGGTGCCACCTACTGGTCGGGAGCTGATCCATTAATGACTTCTAGGACCAATACCGGAGCTGATGCGAGCAGAGAGCTGTAAGCTGGAGCAGACGTGGAACCATTGCTGAACTGAGCAATCCATCGTGAGTGAATAGGCTCTGTGCACAAGATGGCGTCTATCAACTTCCGGCGGGTGGGTGTGAGGGCGAGTACTTCCGGTTTGAGTACAGAGTTTTGACAGTTTGACAGTTTGTTATGACACACCAAGAGCAAGAATGAGCGGATTTCAGGGTAAAGAAAAGCGATTGGCCTTCCAGCAGGTAAGAAAGTCAGCACTACATTGCTGTGTGCCCCTGTGTACGAATTTGTCCCGTTATAATCGGGAGATAAGTTTCCATGCATTTCCCATTGATGCTGAGGTAAAAGGCTCAGTGGCTGATCAAGATCCGTAGGGACAATTTCAGCCCCACAAAAAATACCCGTGTGTGCAGTAGGCATTTTCGACCGGGAGACTTATTGGTCACAGCTGGAGGACTGCACAGAGTACAGAAAGGAGCTATACCTGTTCTCTTTGCATGGAATAATAACGAGCTACCTACACCAAGACGTAATGTTTGGGAGCGTCGGCCGAGGGCAGAGAGCCCCACCCCGGACTTGACAGCTGAGTACGAGGTGGAAACAGTTGCGCTGCCTGATCATGAGTACTGTTTAAAACCAGCGACGGCAGTGATGGCAAATCAGGTGGCCAACGAGAACAAAGCCTTGAAAAGTCAGATTAGGGAGCTCCAACACCAGCTGGAAGTGTTACAACTGCGATCTCATTTCGGGATACAACGCCTGGCAGGGTCGGACGAGGACATTCGTTTCTACACCAGGTTTGTTTATAAGGCTATCAGGATGTTGTTATGGCCACTAGTTTGAAAAACACCTTTCATTTGGGGAAGCTAATTTAAGAAACAAAACGATGTCTAACATGAACAATATTACATTCTTAGATTTGCCACATACAAGCATTTCCTTGCCTTTTGGAAATTGGTGGAGCCAGCAGCCAACACCAAGATGGTGCGGATCACCAACGATAAGGCATCCTCTGCCAGCAGCTCGGATTCCTCTCAACCAACAACAACGGTATGCAGCATACAAGCATGGATGTATATTAATAATTATGCACGCTGCGCACTATACCACCGTTTAACAAGTGCATCACATCACTCACACAACACACACGCAGAGAGAACAACAAACCCCAGGAAAATGTGTTACAACTGTACCCGGTCTCCCCTATAACAGTATCTACAGTATGCCTAACACTTATTTGTTTTCACAGAAACTTCCACCCATAGATGAGCTGCTGCTGTTCCTCATGCACCTGTCAGTGGGCCTACATCTGAGGGATCTATCAGAACGGTTTGGCATTCACCGCACCACAGTCAGCAGAATTATTTCCACCTGGACACACTTCCTTTACCAACTGCTTGGAAGCAAACGTCTGTGGATCCCACGCGAAGTTGTCAGAGCTCACCTTCCACCAGAGTTTTCAGTTTTCCCTGACACACAAGTGGTGCTTGACTGCACTGAAGTATTCTGCCAGACTCCATCATCTCTCCTGCTTCAGAGTGAGGTGTTTTCAACATACAAGTCGCATGCTACATTCAAGGCCATGATCGGCATGGCACCACATGGTGCCATTACATTTGTGTCTGGCCTGTATGCAGGATCTATGAGTGACCGGGAGATTTTCAAGCTGTCTGGCATCGTGAGCCTGCTCACACCAGACATGGCGATAATGGTCGACAAAGGGTTCCTTGTGGACAATCTGGTTGAGGGCAAAGTTTACCGGCCTGCCTTTCTGTCAAAAAACCCCCAAATGAGCAGGGAGGATGTCAGGCAGACTCAATCCATTGCACGTCTGAGGGTCCATGTGGAGAGGTGCATCAGAAGGGTCAAAGAGAACAAACTCTTTGACAAAGCCATACCACTGTATGTGTGTGGAAGCATTGAGGAGCTTTTCAATGTGGCTTGCTTCCTGGTCAACTACCAGAACGGACCACTGGTGAAAGCATGGGCAAGCCTGGGCAGCAATGATTAAAAGATTTCTTGCTCCCAAACCAATTGTGTATTTCATTGTGGTCATTACAAAAAGCAGTTATACCATACTATGTTTAGGTACTAATGAATTATAACCTCAAAACAAATGCATACAAAAATAATATAGGACAATACGCTGGCCTGGGAGCGCCTTGGGATCCCCCAGTCCCCCCAGGTTGATGTGGCCAGGGAAAGGAAAGTTTGGGGCTCTCTGCTGGAATTGCTACCGCCGCGACCCGACCACGGATAAGCGGGAGAAGATGGATGGATGGAATACACAACATAATAAATCCACAATATGATAACATTTTACAGATTCATTTAATAAACTTTTACAAAACATAGGTTGATGTTATATCGGGGGGAAAAAATACATTAAACATTTCAATTAGTCTCTGCATATTTAAGTAATGCTAGTTTATGTAACAGATGAACAGATCAATGCAAGATAAGTTAGTTAGCATCCACAACATTTGTGAATGAATAACGTCATATGACATTTATAACCCCACCCATGGTGGTGGTGGGGTTATGGTATGGAAGACGAACACAGGCCACTCGATTCACAACATTACCCTAACCCTAATCCTACCCCTCACACCAGATACTGACTGGTTTTCGGACCACCCCAGACCCCCCCAATAAAGCAAAAATGCACGTTTCAGAGTGGACTTTTATTGTGGCCAGCCTAAAGCACACCTGTGCAATAATCATGCTGTCTAATCAGCATCTTGATATGCCACACCTGTGAGGTGGGATGGATTATCTCGGCAAAGGAGAAGTGCTCACTATCACAGATTTTTTCAGATTTGTGAACAATATTTGAGATAAATGGTTATTTTGTGTATATAGAAAATGTTTTAGATCTTTGAGTTCATCTCATGAAAAATGGGTGCAAAAACAAAAGTGTTGCGTTTATATTTTTGTTCAGTGTATATTATAACTACATAAAATAGTGTTAGTAGAACGTTGAACAGCTTAACATACTGTAGATGTAGGGTACAAAACCAGCACTTACCTAACACTGGCCCATACAAATAACTGGACCCTACATGGATTATACTAACCATACAGTAAAGAACAGCAGCCGTCACAACCAGTTTCTGGGGTTTCCATGAAAGCAGAGACGGTTTTCAATCTCTCATTAAGAATCTTTGATGAAAGCTAAGTTTGGGTTTAGCTAATGTATTTATCATTTTACACGAGAGGGTTACAAAACGAAAATAAATCTGTAGCCCCTTCATGCTACACACACATAGCTAGCTACCAGTTGATGTGAGCAAATGTATTGTCACTATGTAATCTGTTCCAACACGTCAGCTAGCTGGGCTTTTTTGAATCCTAAATCACAGGTTACCTACTCTAGCCACATCAAAACCCCAGAACATGAACCTGATTGAGGCTTTGAACCGATGAACACTTTTTATTTTCCTCCCTACTCTGAGATCGTGAGGCTTTGCATGCTTTCTCATAGACCTGTAACAGCTAGCCCTGACGCTCACTCTCCCTGAAGGTAGATCTTTGTTTGAAACTGTGGGGAATTGGACATCATTCATGTCATCTAAAACATGTAATAGTACATCATTAAAACGCTTTACACTGTATCAAGACTGTCAAGTTGTTAAAGTTAGCCAGTAACTACAGCTTTGTTTGTCACTTACCTTCATAATTGTCGATGTAACTGGATATGTACATCTTGAACCCCTTTTCTCTTTTTCTCCTCGGGGCTGAGTTTGCCGCTTGTACCAGCCGATGTACATCACTGATGTTAACCTTCGGTAGGACTTGGAGACATTGAGTGTAAAATAGTGCCATCACGTTAACGTTAGCCTTCTCACTTTGCTCTACCGTTATCTGTATGCTATCTGTATGCGATCTATCTTGCTATCTATCTACACACTGAACAAAAATATAAATGCAACACTTTTGTTTTTGCTCCCATTTTTCATGAGATGAACTCAAAGATCTAAAACATTTTCTATACACACAAAATAACCATTTCTCTCAAATATTGTTCACAAATCTGAAAAAATATGTGATAGTGAGCACTTCTCCTTTGCCGAGATAATCCATCCCACCTCACAGGTGTGGCATATCAAGATGCTGATTAGACAGCATGATTATTGCACAGGTGTGCCTTAGGCTGGCAGGAACTGGAACACGCTGTCGTATACGCCGATCCAGAGCATCCCAAACATGCTCAATGGGTGACATGTCCGGTGAGTATGCTGGCCATGCAAGAACTGGGATGCTTTCAGCCTCCAGGAATTGTGTACAGATCCTTGCAACATGGGGCCGTGCATTATCATGCTGCAACATGAGGTGATGGTCGTGGATGAATGGCACAACAATGGGCCCCAGGATCTCGTCACGGTATCTCTGTGCATTCACAATGCCATCAATAAAATGCACCTGTGTTCGTCGTCCATAACATACGCCTGCCCATACCATAACCCCACCACCACCATGGGCCACTCGATTCACAACATTGACATCAGAAAACCGCTCACCCACACGACGCCACACACGCTGTCTGCCATCTGCCCTGAACAGTGAACACCGGGATTCATCCGTAAAGAGAACACCTCTACAACGTGCCAGACGCTATCGAATGTGAGCATTTGCCCACTCAAGTCGGTTACGACGACGAACCGGAGTCAGGTCGAGACCCCGATGAGGACGACGAGCATGCAGATTAGCTTCCCTGAGACGGTTTCTGACAGTTTGTGCAGAAATTCTTTGGTTATGCAAACCGATTGTTGCAGCAGCTATCCGAGTGGCAGGTCTCAGACGATCTTGGAGGCGAACATGCTGGATGTGGAGGTCCTGGGCTGATGTGGTTACATGTGGTCTGCGGTTGTGAGGCCGGTTGTATATGTACTGCCAAATTCTCTGAAACGCCTTTGGAGATGGCTTATGGTAGAGAAATGAACATTCAATTCACGGGCAACAGCTCTGGTGGACATTCCTGCTGTCAGCATGCCAATTGAACGCTCCCTCAAAACTTGCGACATCTGTGGCATTGTGCTGTGTGATAAAACTGAACATTTCAGAGTGGCCTTTTATTGTGGCCAGCCTAAGGCACACCTGTGCAATAAAGGAGGAGAAGTGCTCACTATCACAGATTTTTTCAGATTTGTGAACAATATTTGAGAGAAATGGTTATTTTGTGTATATAGAAAATGTTTTAGATCTTTGAGTTCATCTCATGAAAAATGGGAGCAAAAACAAAAGTGTTGCATTTATATTTTTGTTCAGTGTATCTTTCTATCTGTATCTCTATCTATCTATCTATCTCTCTATCTATCTATCTATCTCGCTATCTATATCGCTATGTACCCGCTCTACCGTAGACCGGAAGTTTACAAGCGCACACTCAATGAACCAGAAATGGAAATACGTCATCCCGTGCAACTAGCCCATAGGAAAAGTCTGGTGTGGGACATCAGAAGAAGCCTACTCTCCTTGTCAGCAAAATAACTCCTCCACATTGCCAAGGAAGTGGGTCCAGTGCCAGGCCAGGAACCGTCTGAGCTCGAGGAGGGAGACAATGAAGGCTGCTTCAACTACATCAGTTTATTTATGCACAGTAAGCACTTGCTTGAGTCAGAAGATAGTGGGATGGTTCACTTGTTGATGTTGAAAGATGCTATTGATGACATTGTGAAAGACAGAGAAGTAAGTGTACAGGGCAGATATCTGAAGCTGAGACAGATCTCACCGCTTCTCCAGTCAGTTTTAATGCTGCAGGGGATAACACGAATACTGGGTTACTGGAAATGCTTAATAGCTATGAAGACCTGGGTAAAAGGTTAAGACAAAGCATTATGGCACCTACAACACAGACACTAGAACAACCCCCACTGTCACCAGCACACACTAGTAAGTCTCATCATAACCAGGGCTGCACATAACTGGTGCGCATGCGCACCTCGGCCAAAAAAAGAGCACCGGGTCATTTGAAAAAAGGCACATTTGCGTACCAACATTGAGAGAGAGGGAGAGAGAAGGGAGAACAGAAAAGAGAGGAGAGAAGAGAGAGAAAGATATTTGCGAGTTGCATATGAACTCAGGGCCGGCCCGTCGCACTGGCGTTGATTTTCGCCTAGGGCGCCAGATCTGTGGAGGCGCTGCGCTGGTGAAACATTTTTGACCGTTGGTGCTCATCCTAATTTTCGGCTTTGATGTAACAACATTCATAATTAAGTAAATGTAACACCCTTTTCACCCCGGTTACACTTTTCATTTGCCCTGTACGATGGGCGCTGTAAGTGATGAAAATGGGGGATGTTGGCTTATCTGGCGCCCGCAGCTCACAGCCAAAGTGCGAGTGAGCGTGGGAGTGAGCGAGGGAGAAAGGGAGGGCGCTGTTGTTATTAGCATCTGGTGCTAGCTGCTCTAACGGAAGAAGAAGATGTTTCTACAATGATGTGGAGGGAGAGTCCTCTCCAGTCAGACTGAGAGGCTGATACTACAGCTCAGTGAGGTAAAGGACTCTGAGTGTTTAGATAGTTCACTTTAGTCTAAGTTCAAACGGTTTGGTCACAATTTATGTAAACACATATTTTCAAGGCACTCCTATATAATTATTGGGATAAACAGGTTTGAAATCAGTCCAATGTATACTATAGGACAGTAACCAAACATATCCTTTTAAAACTGGACTTTCGACCCAAACCCAGCTGTTGACTTGTGGATGCAAGCAGCTAATCGAAGACTCAACACGAGAGAAAGTAGTAGGCCTACATCATCAGCTACCATGTCTGACAGAGAGGAAGACAGTGAGGAGAACAGTCAGGAGGGTAGTGATGACAGCTTGTAGGATTACTGGTCGTGCTAATGTTGTCATGTGTTCGCCTCTGCATGTGTGTTCTGTGTTCACCTCTGCATGTGTGTTCTGTGTTGTGTGTCTGACAAATAAAGACCGGTTTATTTATTTCAATTTAAGGATGAGCACCAAGCAACATCTCCAGGTGCTCCTTTGAGAACCAGGGCAAAAAAGTTATGTGCACCCCTGATC